GTGATGCAATGGAATGTTCACAAACATTCCAACCAAATGGTCAACAAATGATAGCCCCTGGACCAAAGCCCCTCCTGGAGTTGTCAAGCCAAAAGCCAAATAAAACCTCCTCCTTAGAGAGAACCTGTGACAAAATTGCTGACCAGGAAAACCACACAGGCATAGAATGCTAAGAAAGAATGCAACTTCTGTGAGGGAAGCAAGAGGTGAGTTTGGCAGGTAAGGGCCTGAGACAGGTTTTTTTAAAAAAGGACGTGTGCAATTGATGGGGTGGTGATGATTAGCTACAGAAAATGATGTGGATGAAAAATTGCAGGATGAGAAGGCAGTGTAGGGCTGGGAAAAAGAGAGGGTGATATGCACAACCTTTTTTGATGGTTGAGAATTGCAGGATAGGGAAACAGAAGTCACTAGTGCAACAAATTAGGCATGGATGATGGCATGCATTCTTGCAGGGAGCTTGCGTTTGGAGTGTCCACACAGTAAACATGACACAAACTCTCCTTGAAAAATACTGAGTGTTACGCGTGAACGGCCTGAAGTTTTTCTTGCAGCCCTAACAGTAGCCCACCTTCCCATGGTCACTCTGCGCCAAGAGAAACCGGCTCATTCAGCACCTTGGAGAGCGTTTGGAAGAGGCTGAGGGTCGGAAGGGGTTAACTTCAAGTGTTGTTCCAAGTTCTATTGCTTTGTCTAGACTACTCAGCCCGGGAAGGAACAGAAAGTACATTCATAATCAACGCTCTGACAGCTCCTGCCGTCCTATCCCTTGAGAGATCAAAAGTCATTTACAGACACAAGTCGGTATCAAGAGCCACGTTTGGCGGAAGGGATGCGCTGGAGGCACGCGGAAGCAAGGGAAGGGAAGATCCAGGGGTGCTCAGCGCCCACATTAGCACATCCCAACCTCTCCCCTTGTATCTATGCTAGAAATGTAAACCAACTTCAGGCCAGTTGAACAATCGCTGCTTCCCTTCAAAGAACCTGAAGATTTCAAGTTTGGGGAGGCTGCAGGGGGATTCTCTGTTGCCCCCAGAGATTTAGCCCAACAATGTGCAAACTTTGTGCCCTCGGAAAGGTCTGAACTGTGTCCAGAATACATCTATTGCCCTTCATAGCAACAGAAGCCAGGTATAGGAGTGACTACCCCTGGACCAAAATATGAGCAACCGCGTCCCCTAGGGAAGGAGTAGGATACACTGTCACGCTCTGATACAGCTTGTGGTCGGGGTGACCGGTGTGAGGACATCCCAAAAGTCTCCCCACTGGAGTTTATTCTTCCAATGTGCAGCCAGACAGATTTTGTGCACTGGCGGGGGGAGGGGGAAGTGTGGTGTTGAGCTCTGCTGTTGTGCAGCTGGGCCTACAGGGTTTCATAAGGAGCTCCAAAAAACAAACAAACAAGGGGGGAAAAACAGCCTAGGCAGGAAAAACAGAATTAGCACTTTCACAGAACTCAAAATCCTGAGGCTTCCTTGACTGGGAGCCATGACAGTTGCAGAAGGCTTGGGTATGTCTCAAAACGTGTGCTGCAGGCCACAAGAATGGTGACAGTTCAGGATCAGTGCCTGACCTGGGAATCAATCCAAGTAGACCCATTCCATCCATAGAGGGATTAGCAACCCCCTTTATCCATTAAATCCCCTTCCTGGAGATCCGAAAAGAACCTAGGAATCTTGGTTTTCAGCTTCCTAGAGCTATCGACGGCCAATACGCATGCCCGTGCATGTTCCCCTCCCTGAATTGGCCATACAACCCAGAAGTCTTGGTTCCAGTACTCTGCCCCCCCCTCCCAAAACAAGAGCAAGCAGAAGAACTCAACAGCAATGCAATCTATAGGGATAAATATGGTGGTGACTGAGACAGGAGCAGATGAGGCTCAAGGCATTCTTTCTTCTAGTAGCTCATGACTAGACAGACATCAGTCTCCAAATGCTTCTTTTTCCAGGTGTGAATTCATTCACCTTTCGGATTCCATCTTGGTTCAGTTGGGTTTGAGGCCATTCCACCCAAAGCTTGGAGTTCCCAATTCGAGCAGCCCCCTCATGTATCCACCAGCTCCTTCTTCAGTTCCTTGGACATGCTTGTTGTGAGCAGTGCTGGTGGGAGATGATGGACGTCAACTCTCCCATAGGCCTATTGGGTCAACTGGAGAAGCTGACATCCTACCTGATCTTGCCCGTCGAAAGGATTTTAGTCAATGCTGTGCAAGTTCAGTGGCCATAGTAGACATGGACAGACTCTCCTGGAGTGCAGCATATTTCCCCGTCCCTGCCAAGAACATGGATTTAAAGATCTATTCCTTCCACCCTGAAGTTGGAGGTGGTAGGCTCCAATTCTATGTCCAAGCTCAGCTAGGATCATAAATATGGCGGCTATGAGATGGGACACCAAAGAGAGAAAGAGGAGGAAGACACGGAAACCCAACTACGAAGACATGATGGGCTCAGAGGCCAAAAGGGAGCGAGGAACAGCATCGTGAAAGGCTCTCCAAGTCCCAGTGAGTCGAAGACAAAGACACTGTCATTTCGCGTGCTTTTCTGGCGATTCCACCCCTTTTTAACTGGCCACAGAGTCCCCGTGTGTGATCAGGCTCTGGAAACTGACCAGCTGCTTCATCTGTTCCGGTTGCATCGAGTGCCTCCTCAGAAGCCGCTTGGCCTTCGGGGAAGTGGGGGCTACTGGAACCAACCCCTTGTGGACTGGCGAGGGAGGCTTGCCATTGGGCCGGATGTCACGGAGGGGTGGGTGGGGGTTGAAGTTGAGAGGGGGCAGGAAGCCGGGACGGGTGTGAGCAATGTGATCCAGCAGCAGGGTCCCAGAGCCCCTTCTCTCCAGGAGGCCTGGGGTCCTGCGTCTTATCATGTTGGGGGAGACGGCACTGGGGATGCTTTCCAAACTCTCCCGTGACGAACTGGCCGGCAGAGTCAGCGGGGAGGCATTGTACTTCCTCCTCTCCGCGGAAACACGGCCTGAATCCGGTGAGCCAGGGATGGAGTCCGGGCAGAGGGAATCGGATTCATAATGCTCCATGCAGTTCAGCTTGTGGTGGGCCGCACCCCGTGCACCTGGACCCGGGCCACCTTCTTGGTTTTCAGGAGCCGTGTTGCGCCGAGAGAGAGGTTGGTGGAGGTGGCTGAAATGGACTTTTTCTGCCCATGCTGCTTCCAGGCTGGAGACTTCTTCTCCGAATGCATGGTAGGAAGCCATTTTGAGGGAAGATGACTCTTGGCCTTCCATGCTGTGCCTCCGAGACAACGGTGGCCTCTTGGAGAGGCTCAGCCCGTTCATCTCCGCCACCATCCTTTCGTCTGGGGTCCGAGCCTTTTCCTGATGAGCCAAAACAGAGGGTGCCACCAAGCCCCATGGTTCTGAGTTCAGCCTCTTCAGCTGCTTGGGCCTGCCTTTGGGTGGGAGTGCTGAGGCCTTTTCCTCGCCTTCCTTCCCTTTGCCATGTGGGATGGGGTTACAGGTGAGTCTGGTTCCCATGGTGAAGTTGAAAACGTCTCGCTCCTCTTCCTTCTCGCTGCCTCCCGGGGACTGGGCGGTCCTCACCTCGATGTCTGAGGGTGACATACACAGAGCAGGCGAATGCTTATCTTCGATACCGGGTGATGGTGGCGAATTCAGGTACTGCTTGGTCTTCTTGGTCCCCGAGGGGGACGTATCTGTGGTGATGATGATGACTTCCTTCCCCTTGGCCTTACAGGCATCCAGGAGTACCTGCAAGGTTGCCCGGTCCCCCTTATTGATGGCGTAAACCAAAGCTGATGCCCCTGAGTAATCTTTGGCACTGGGATCTGCCCCATGATCTAGCAAGATGGTGGCTACCTTAGCTCCGGCACCGTCAGCACAGGCGTGCATCAGTGCGGACTTCCCCGTCTTGTCAGGGATGTTTGGGTCGGCCCCATTCTCCAGGAGGTACCTCACCATGCGGGGCTTGTTCTGAGGATCCTCGTAGGGGGCTATACAGGCAGCAATGAGGGGGGTCTCTCCCTGGGTGTTGCCCTCGTTGATGTAGGCCCCTCCCTCTAGCAACAAGCGGGTAAGCCGGAATTTGCCTTGCCAGACGGCCTTCAGCAGCGCATTGCCTTCGGTATGGACCATGGCGGCAGGGGTCTGTGGACTGTGGGGGGAGGAATGGAAAGGTCACAAGGCAGAGATGGGAGAGGAGCCGGGCATCTCAGAGCATGCAGCAACCTGGAGAGAGAGAGAAAGGGGGAGGATGAAAGATGAGGATTATATGTCTTTTGTTATGATACAGAAATCCAGTTTCCTCTCTTGCTCAGAGTTGCCAGCTCTGGCTTGGAAAATTCCTGGCGACTGAGGGATGATGCCTGGGGTGGGTGGGGTTTGGGGAGAGAGGGAGCTCTGTGGGGATTTGCTGCCACAAAGTCTGTCCTCCAAAGCTGTTGTATCCAGTCTAGAGGTGAGCTGTAATCCTAGGAGAACACCCCAACCTGGATGTTATTAACCCTACAAGGCTTGCTTTGATCGCTTTTGTCTTTTCTCTGTTTGGTGGGGGAGAGCCAAGATCAGACTGGCATAGCAAACAGGCTAGGACAGTGATGGCGAACCTTTTGGAGACCGAGTGCCCAAACTGCGACCCAAAACCCACTATCTTAACGCAAAGTGCCAATACGGCAATTTAACCTGAATACTGAGGTTTTACTTTAGAAAAAACAACTCATACACTAACTTAAGATGATCCAAACAAAGTAAGGAAAGCAATCCCAAATGCTTTCATTTACTTAAAATGATTTGGCAGAGAATTCGACACTTTAATGATGGTCTGGGCCTGGCTGGGGCGATGGCACGTGTGCCCACAGAGAGGGCTCTGAGTGCCACCTCTGGCACCCGTGCCATAGGTTCGCCACCACTGGGCTAGGAAGAAGCAAAGGGACTCAGAAGGATTTGGGGAGACAGACTCCAAGGGGGCAAGGCAAGTGAAAGGGACTGAGAATAAAACAGCATATATTGTAATGCCCCCGTATAGGTCCATGGTGTGGCCTCATTTGGAAGACTGTGTACAGTTCTGGTCACCAAACCTCAAAAAGGACATTGCAGAGCTGGAATAATAAAGGAGGATGATTAGAGGGTTGGAGCACCTTCCCTAAGAGGAAAGGTTGAAGAGCCTGGGGCTTTTCAGTTTAGAAAAGAGACGACTAAGGGGTGACATGATAGAAGTTTATAAAATTATGCACGGGGTGGAGAGAGTTGAGAAAGAGAATTTTTTCTCCCTCTCCCAAAATACTAGAACTCGAGGGCATCCAATGAAGCTGATGGGCAGTAGGTTCAGGATGGACAAAAGGAAATACTACTTTACACGGGAAGTGATTAAAATGTGGAATTTGCTGCCAGTGGATGTAGTGATGGCCACAGGAATAAACAGCTTTAAAAGGGGGATAGATTCATGGAAGATCGGTCTATCAGTGGCTACTAGCGATGGTGACTGAGGGGAACCTCCATATTCAGAGGCACTAATCCTCTGAATCCTAGAACTAGGAGGCTACCTCAGGGGAAGGCCTCGGCCTCTATGCCCTGTTTTTGGCCCTCCAGAGGAACTGGTTGGCCACTGTGTGAGACAGGATGTTGGACTAGATGGACCACTGGTCTGATCCAGCAGGACTCTTCTTATGTTCTTATGAAAGAAAGCGGGAACTTTTGGCCTTCAGCCTCTTCCTACTTCCTGTTACAGGGGGTGCTATGAGGCTGGAGCCAAACATTGGAAAATGGTCCCTGGCAGGGGTGGGTCTAAGTTCCTTGTCTTCATGCATCATGGCTCTGAACTGAACTGGGCCCCTCCTGTGCAGAAGGAAAACACAGAGCATGCCTACGACCCAACTGGGATGTACCTGCGAATAGGGTTACTACTACAGTTGATCTCCAGATGACCAAAATCAGTTCCCCTGGAGAAAATGGCTGCTTTGGAGGATGGATTCTATAGCATTATATCCTGCTGAGGTCCCTCCCCTCTGCAAACCCACTCTTCCCAGGCTTCATCCCCAAAATATCCAGGTATTTCCCAACCCAGAGCTGAAAACTTTGCAGAAACAGGTACAGTTAAACCTACATAAAGCTACGAAGGGACTACTCAGTATAAAGCAAATTCACAGATTCAGTTAGTTCTTGCCGGAGAAAAGGTTGATCCCATCTATCCTTTGGCTTTCTATTAATCCCCACCAATGCCAAGTCAAGAGTAGATAAGAACATAAGAGACGCCAATGTTGGATCAGGCCAAAGGCCCATCCAGTCCAACACTCTGTGTCACACAGTGGCCAGAAATACCAGGTGCCATCAGAAGGTCCACCAGTGGGGCCAGGACATTAGAAGCCCTCCCACTGTTGACCCCCCCCCCAAGCACTCCTTTCCTAAAAGTGCTATATATACAAAAAGTAGCTAAGTTGTAGGGTCACCGATGGACCTCTGCTCCATATGCTAATCTAATTCCCTTTTGAAGCCGTCCATGCTTGTAGCCGCTAGGGAAGATCACACCCGCGCTACCTGGATCCTTCATTCACTTGAGTTCTTTTTTTAAAAAATGAAATATTTCTTGAATAAAGCAAGGCCTGATTATATTATTGTAGCTATAAATGGGTACAATTTAATTCCCATCCAGCAAATGGGCAAAGAATATCCGGCAGTTATTTTACAGAATGTTATAAATACTGGGACTGGGATTCAGTCGCATAATCTGTTCCGAGAGGGTACCCCCCTCATTACAAGACTGAGAAAATATTGACAAACCATTCACTACAAGCCTACCTAATCTATGTTAATTTCCCCATTTCAGCTACATAGAGCATTGTTCATAAAATCTCTCCCCCCCCCCAATTCTGGCACACTATTCAGCCTCCTGTGCCTGAAACACACCATTTTTGTGGCTGTTAATAACCTTCATTTCATTTCATTCTGTATACTTTTGTGCTCTGCATAGTACATAGTACTGGTATCTCCTGCATAGCTTAGCCTTTTGGCCTCACTCTCTCTCTGTTTATATGTGCATATCTTCCCCCCTTTCTCTCTGTCCTCAGGATTTATTTACCAGCTGACTTAACTTAGGCATCAATAGCTCTTCCCCAGAAAAGATGCACTTGCCCAGGCTAGCCCGATCTCATCAGATCTAGGAAGCGAAGTAGGGTAGACTCTAGCTAGTTTTTGAATGGGTCGTGACGTGGAGCCAGGTAACGGTAAACCACCTCTGAATGTCTCTTGCCTTGAAAACTGCATGGGGTTGTCATAAGTCACGTGTGACTTGATGGCACTTTCCACCAACAATGCCATGTACTAAGGGCAAGGGAACTGAATGCGGGTGTTGCCTGCAGAAGGTCCCAAGTTTATCTTTTGGCATCTCCAAAATCAAGTAGCACTGCTGAGAAAATCCACTGCCTGATATCCTCTGAGCGCTGCAAGTAAATAGATCTGAATTAGACAACCGCTAGTTTGTATCGGTGTGGGGCTGGTTGCCAGATAATAAGCGATCCAGCCATAAATTTCTGGTGGCAGGGCTGAAAAGGGGGCCTCTGCCTTAAACCTTGGAAGCTCTACCATATATACATATACACACAGCTGCCATATACTGAATCGGATCATTGGTCTTTCAAGATTAGTACTGACTACTCGGACAGACAGCAGCTATCCAAGGTATCAGGAAGAGGTCTTTCATGTCACCTACTACCTGGTCCTTTTAACTGGAGATGCCAGGGACGGAACCTGGGACCTTCTGCAGGCCAAGCAGACGCTTTGCCATTGAGCCACAGCCAGAGGCAACAATACTAAGCTGGTTGCACTAACTCAATATAAAACACTTTTCACACAATCATTTAGGGGAGGAGCTGTGTCTCAATAGAAGAGCATCCATTTTTTGAACCTGGGACCTTCTGCAGGCCAAGCAGACGCTTTGCCATTGAGCCACAGCCAGAGGCAACAATACTAAGCTGGTTGCACTAACTCAATATAAAACACTTTTCACACAAACATTTAGGGGAGGAGCTGTGTCACAATAGAAGAGCATCCATTTTTTGTGGTCCCAGGTTTGATCCCCGGCATCACCCACGAAAAGGATCTCAGGTAACAGGCGGTTGGAAAGACCTCTTTCTGCCTGAGATCCTGGGAGCCACTGCTGGTTGGGGAACAGACAGTACTGAGCCATATGGACCAACAGTCTGGGTCAAAATAAGGCAGCTCCATGGATTGTATCATTCTGTTCCACTATTTGTGAAGCCTTCCTCCAAAGCAAGGAGGCTTTCATTGCAGGGACATGCATCTTCCATAGGCATGTGTCTCAGGAAGTTAGTAAGATGGAGTCACGTGATCCAACCCAAAGGGCCAGTTTAAGGCAGGCCAGTACAACCTCACCAAACAAGCCACATGACCAGAAGAGAGCATTTGATTGGCCTAGCCAGAAAAACTGTGTTCTCCAAGGTGACCAGTTTAGGGTTCTGAAGAGCTAAAGAAACCCATATTCCATGGAGTTTCGCACCTTGTTTGTGCTCTGTTGCAGTTCTATCTATCTATCTATCTATCTATCTATCTATCTATCTATCTATCTATCTATCTATCTATCTATCTATCTATCTGTCTGATTTATACCCCGCCCTAGCAGGCTCAGGGCGGCTTACATAAAAGTATTAACAGCATTGACCCTGCAATTGGAGGGGAGTCAATATATATATATTTAAATGGAAAGCCAGCAACAGGAACAGACTGGGAAGTGACTATTCTCTAAATCAAGATGAAGTGTATTGCCGTCAGGGGAACGATCAGGTAGGTTTCCAGGGATTCCGTTTTCTGAGTGGCTTTGCAATCGTAAACCTGGAAAATTAGATACAATTTGGCATTCTAAAAAATTGACTGTAATAAACATGGTATTGCCTGAGACAAGTGGATTACAGTTTGATTCAAAAGTGGACTCCAGCTTCAGAGTTGGAGATTGTAGCTCTCATGTGACTCTTGCAGTGGTGAAATTTTTGCCTATGGCATTTAATAATGATATTCTATAACGTAAATACTGTACTTATAACTATGTATTTTGTATATTATGCTTACTTGCCTATGACCAATTGATCTGTGAGCATTAATAGAATGGAATAGACTGGGAAGTGAAA